AAACTATAAATGTCTGATTCTTTTGTATATTGTTTACCTGATAATACTTCAGGTGCCAGGTATGGAATGACTCCAAAAATCTCATTTGGATTTTCATTTTTATTTATTAATTTTTGACATAACCCTAAATCTCCTATTTCACTATAAGCTTGATTATATGAAAAAATATTACCACTATGCAAATCATGATGAATGTAATTCTTTTCATGAATTTCCTTTAATCTAATTTATTTTAATAATAATTAATGAAATGTATAAAGTTAATTTTATAAAAAAAAATTTTAATTTAATAATAAAATTTAAAACTTGCCCCTCTGAAATAAAAAAAAGTGATAAAAGTTTATCTTCCCAAGTAATTTCCTTGAAATTTTTTGATAAATTATTATGTAAATCTCCATTTTTAGCATAATTAAATACCAACATAAATTCATTTGTGCTTGGATCTTTTGTAATTCCAAAGCATTGATTGACATAACTACCCATTTCATTATTTGCCTTTAACTAAAAATTATTAATAATTATAAATACAATTATAATCAAAATTAATAATATTTATAAAAAATTAATATTAAAAAGTTTTACCTCTTTTAAAATATTTGTAATTTTATCACTTGAGTTATATAATCTTTTTAATACCACATTTTTTTTAAATTTATCATTAAAATATATGTTAATCCATATTGCTTTATGAACTTCACCAAAACCACCTTTAGCCAAATATTCAATATTTTTGAATTCATTAAAAGGAATCCATTCAATATAACCATCTCCACATCTATTTATTTTTTTACATTCATAAAGAAACCTGGCTATTTCTTTATTTCCACAATCAGCCTCTAAGTTTTCAATTTCCTTTTTTTTACAACTATTGCATAATACAACTCTATTCAATTCAACATCTGTGTGAATTAAATTGAAATATGATCCTTCAATTAATTTTTTACTTTCTTCTTCCTCATTCCCTTTTAATCTATTTGAAAGCTCATTTAATGCATCAATTGATACATTCAAATAACCCATAAGAAAATAATTATCTTTTATCGTTTCTTTCTTACAATCAATACAATTTTCTATTAATTTTAATGTTCCAAGTAATTCATTTAAAATACTATTAATCCTAAATGTCATGCCATCTTCATCTGAAATTGGTTTACATAATAAATCATATCTTGGATAAATTGATTTAATCAATAGTTTTAATTTGTTTAACATTTCAATTTCTTCCATCTTTAATATCCAATACTTATTTATCTTTAGAATGATTTCATAAGAGTCGATCCATTTTTTAACACAAATAAAAAAATGTGACTCGTTGTGTCACTATTTCTTGCCAAAACTCGTAATTTTTCATTAATTTGCATATACACAGACAGACTCGATAAGTCAGCCCGCAGTAATCAATTGTTTAAAGTACTCAATAGTATAAATTATGCGGCTGACTTATCGAGTCTGTCTGTGTACGTGTATTAATATATTAATAGTAAAACAAGGGCTATTTTCCGGATCATAACCGAGGTAAAATAATATCTCGTGTAACATTTATTTTCCATAGAACCCCAGAACCCATTCCTAATAATCAATGCATGTAATTTTCAACTTTTTTGCCATGTGTCTCAGTTATTAAAAGAGAAATCGATGATGAAGTTACTATAAATCTCGATATAATTGACGATATGATTGAAAAGATATCAAAAGGCAACTTAAAATTCGAAGTAGCGATATCAAGTGTTAAGCGTGATGATTGGGGGAATCTACTCGTCTTAATATCGAAACAGAGAACTTTGACATAGATATTGCTGCTTTCCAGTGGAGCGGTAAACAACAAAGAGAACAAAAAGATAGATATTTACCTCATCCCAGGAATATATTTAAAATTTCCAAACGTCACTCACTTGATCTTTATGATATAACTGATGATAAAAACTTTCCTGGCACAACAGATGCAATTATGGTAGGCAAGCACTCTATTTCTACCAGAATCCCAGAACATCGTATCCGAATCGTTTTGAGTTAGTATTAAAGAAGAACATTATATAGGAAGATATATATCAAGCTATGGCAAAATTAACTACGTCAGATTTAAAACCTAAATATACTGTGTTGACAGTATTAATTAATTTGGTAGACGATTGGCAGATTTTCTGGTTTGAAGGAAGAAATATCATGACACTCACCCTTCCCAGAGACAAAAGCTATACAAAAAATATGGAATTTGCTTCTTAATCCGCAAATCCTAAAGTAGAGGAACCGTTACCAAAATGTAGGAAATTTAAACGATATTGTTATTATTATTATTACATAAGTTCTGGTATATGTAGTTCCTATGGAAGATTTTTTGATACTATGACCGAAGAAGAATATTAAATATAAAGCAAGACATGTCTTAACTCAATTTTTTGGCCAACAGATATTTAACGAATGGAATAATCATCATATAACATCACCTTTGAAGTTAGGATGGCTGATACTGAAAAGGAATAGGATATGTTAATTAGAATTAATAATCATGTAATTGTTTACTTTTCCCAAACTTTGTAATTTCTTCATTGCTAATTTTAATAATAAGATCAAATTCTTTGCGTCTGTATTAATTTTTTCACATGAAGGTCATGCTCGTGGTAATTCGTTATTCTGATAATCGGATTTGCCTTTCAGCTGAAGTACTCAGGCCGGCGGAGATCTTGATTTCATTACTAATCTTTGCAAAGGGATAACCATAAGACCTCTATTGTAACCATTTCTACATTTTTCTTACGGGATCCAAATTCGAAACAATTCGTCCATGACCATATCCAGTTACAACCAAGATGACTCCTCGATTAATCGCAACTAGTTACAACTAGTTGCGACATATAAAAATTGAATGGCGGCTTCCTTCTCTAGTTACAACACCGATTACCTCCAAAAAAAAATCTAGAAAGCTTTTTTAATACCTGGTGACTTTAACGATAATATAAACATCATCTCAAAGCAAAGTAAATCATTTATTAACATCATCCTACACCTCGTTATCTACAACAGATTCAGTTGTAGCAAAAATAACACCATTAAAATATTGTTCTTCAATTTATTATATGAATAAGTGGAATATTTTGTCTAAATATATGGTAGAATAACTGTTGTGAATTTGAATTTTAAATTCACGCGCGTGAAATTCAAATTAGCCAATCAGAATTTTGTATCCAAACACCTACCCCAAAATTCACGACTCACATACAACATGAAAGATGATGAAAGGAATGAGTTATAGTTACAATGAGAAAAGAAGAAGAAAAGAAAATGAACCTGGAAGTAAAATTTTTTACAACAAATAGAGATGTGAATTTCTGAACTGGGAATTTCATTCAGTACGGTAAGTTTAACATTTACAACAGTATTATATAGCATCAACGTCATATAATACACAATTAATTATGAAATAGTTGTTTAATGGATAAAAACTGACGATATAATATTTACCAGCATGTAGGATAACTGTACTACAACTGGTGAAATTATTAGAGAAACATCAACGACTAGTAGTATTGCAGCAATTAGAATCTAACCCATTGATAACACTCAGATTTTGTATAAATTCAGTTATGCAAACAAGAATAAATTTATTATTTGAATTAATAATTAATTAATGATTAATAAATGCAACAAGTAATTTAGATTAATAATAATTATAAAGTTATAATTGAAAAATAAAATGATTAATCACCAAATATCATTATATTCATTTAATTTCAAATTGTCTAAATGTTCATTTGTATCTTGTAATTTATATTTAAAAAATTCCAAATTTAAATTACAAAGTCGTTTTTGTTTTAATTTCAACCATTCCTCTCTCCTACTACTAATACTATTTTTATCATCATAATCGTCTGCCACTGCTAAATTACACCATTCCTTATAAGCTGATTCCACTTCTTTAGCCCAATAAAGTTTTTTAAATTTTCTATTGCCAACTAGCGCTGGATGATTGATTGCGAGAAGACATTCAAAAATTTCTTTTGGATAAGAAAAAGATGAAGATGAAATATTAAAGGTATTATTGGTGACAATATCAAGCAAAGAAGTATTAGATGAGCGAGTGTTATTATATGAGTAAATATTATCAAGTAAGAGAGTATTATTAGATGAGGAAATATTAGAAGAAATATTATCATCACTATGATGATTAATAATATTAATATGATTGCCTATTGCATTAAGATCGTTGTTAATATCGTTAATAGTATTATTAATATAACTGATAATATTAGGAACATTATCATTGTTATATAGATTTAGATCTTCTTCTTTATCATCTTCTGGATTACTTTATTTTCAAAAAAAAAAAAAAAAAATCAATTAAAAAGTCTACCAAATAAAAAGTAAATTATTTAATCATCATTTACCTAATGGTCGATTCTAAAAGACAACGATTACAACAATGTATTTTAAATTGCCAATATCTATAAATAAATGTTGGGTTCAACTTAACGGAACAAATTGAACATTTATCAGCAATAAGCGTGAACCAAACATATTCTTGTTCTGACATTCCATTTGGTGGTGGAAATTTTGGATACTCTAACATTACTATTCTTGATCTCTCCCATATTTTTTGAATTTTAGGTGCGCTTGACCATAAGTATTTTCTATATTGTTTACACACCGAAGAAAGTGAATAAAGATCTAAAGGTGTTAAATAATTACATATTTCATATAATATTTCCGCAAGTATTTCTTTCATTTTTTCTTAAATTTTGATCTATTTTCAATTTTCTATTTTTAATAAAAAAAAAAGTTTAAAAATTTTTATATAAAAAGGATTAAACGATACTTTAAAGGTATTAGCATTTGTGGTGTAGTGGTCATCACGTGTGCTTCACACGCACAAGGTCCTCGGTTCAATCCCGAGCAAATGCATATTTTAAAAAAATTTATTGAGCTTCCATTATTTTTTAATTACTATATATTAAAAATTTTGATTTTAAAAATTAAAAAAACATAATATTATTTGTTACTTATTTTATAATAAGTGAGAACTTCCCTAGTGATATTTTTATTATTATTAAATTTTGATTTTAAAAATGTTTTTTTTATTTATTTATTTTATTTTTACATTACAAAGTTTTAACATTTTAATGTGTTCTCTAATCCTAATTACCTACTTCCTTTTGTTTTTATGTTAATCAAATATATATATATATATATATATACATATACATATATCATATATAAACTATTATTAAAAACGGAAAAAATAAAATAAAATGTCCTATGTCCAATGTCCATTTATTTAACCATCCATCTATGTATTTTAAATTTGAAAAAATACAATGCCAAATTTTCAAAAAGATTGATTTTTGAAAAAAACAAAAATCTAGTTTTTTTTTATTACAATGACACGTCTATTAATTTTTCTATTTACTTTCTATCTATTTTAATTTTCTATATATATATTATTAATACACACATTTACATTAATTAATTAATTAATATATATATATATATATATATATATATATATATATATAATTATGGTCGATAACCACCACCCTCCCTCATCGTCTTCTGACTTAAATCACGTCCAAACATATTATTAGGAATCAAATCACGATTCCCCCCACTTCCACCACCTTCACCTCCGCCATTTCTAATCGTCGTTCCAAATCCGAATTGCTGATTCTGTGAATGATAATTGTGATTTTGTTGTTGAAAATTAAGTCCATTATTACCACTATTATTACTATTACTATTATTGTTAACATTACTACCATTAAAACTGTTACGATGATGACGGTGATAATGATGACGATAACTATCAGCATTCGTATCACGCAATTCATAATTTTCTTCTTCTGGCGGTGTTGGAGTAGTAGATGGATGAGGAAAAGGAGGTGGAATTGAAATATTAAATCGGAAAGGTGACATCTCTTCGTGAATGTTAATCGGCGGGCTTAACTGATGAGGAAAAGACCTGAAAAATGATGAATTTGATGATGATGACGAGAATGCAGAAGATGTCGGCGTTGTAGATACTGGCGTTGTGGGAGTTGGTGTCGTAGAGATTGGTGATGTAGATGATGTAGATGACGATGACGATGATGATGATGACGATGATGATGACGATGATGATGATGAATTCCTCATGTTGAAATAATTATTATCAAGTAAATTTAAATTTCTATTGTTATCAGTAAGTTGATGAACATAAATTTGTTGATTGTTGGGATTACGTATTTGAATTTGATAAGATGAAGATGAAGAGGAGGATGATTGATTTGGCTGGCTATTCTATCATTTGATAAATAATAAATTGATTAGTTGCGCTGCTAAATACAATTGGTTGCTGTTTTTTTGATTACCAAGACATAATTGTTATTATTATTATTACCTCTACTAATTCAGGGAATTGACCAGCATTCCCAGATATAGCTCTAACAACAATTAAAATATCTCCGTGATTTGAAAGAATGTTTTTGATTTCTGATTCATAAACAAATGCTAATCTTTGAGTTTTTTTTTTTTTTTTTTGATTAAAATTAATAAATAATCTTTTTATTTATTACAAAAAAAAAAGAGGAAATAAAATCGATTAAAAAATCAATCAATTACCTCGAAAATTCCTCTGATTCATAAATATTTACATCCACTTCCTTTTCAGCCTTTAAAAGTTCTTTTCGTACAGATTCAAGATTTGCATTAGCCATTCGAAGTTCTGCCAATCTTTGTTTAAAGTCTTGATGATAATTGGTTGTGTTATGGGTGGTATTAGTGTTGTTGGTAACAATACCAGATGATGTTGGTGATGTTGGTGATGATGATGCATTTAATGGAGAACCTCTAGATGATGGATGATGATGATGACGACGATGATGATGATGATAATGGCGATGATGATGATGATTGATCATCATTGTTAGTGATAATTATGAATAATATTTTACGCGTTTATATCATCAAATAAAAAAAGGGAGATTGAAGAAAATAAAATGTGTGTATAGACAATTAAAATGTTTTAGACACCTACTTCCAACGAACATGATTTTTTGAATTTTTCTCTATTAAACCAATTCCTTCCAATACATTTGTGATATCGTAAATTCTTCTCTTTTGTACCTTTAATTCATTCGCTGCATTATTCAAATCCAAATCCCCGTCTTTGGCTTCTTTAAGAAGGCTTACAAATTTTTTTGTAAGCAATCCCAATGAGCTATCATAACGACAAGAACTAGTATTAGCATTAGAATTAGCGGTGGTGGTGGTGGCGGCGGTAGTTCCTTTTTTTTTGAGGGAGAAGAGAAAAATAATGGAAGGTTAGAGAGAATAAAGAAAAGTAGCAAGAAAATTCAATTCATTATTATTACAAGATGTAGCATTCGTTTGGAAGTAACTTTACCATTTGTTGGAGATTCCAAAATTGTTTGTTGTTTTTTATAAGAAATAGAAGATTTTCTACGAGAATTCTTGGGAGCAAAGGAAGAATTGGTGTTGGAAGAGAAATTATTTGTTGTAGGCCTTGTAGTAGAAGAATTAATAATAGTATTGGAAGAAGAATATGAAGTAGGTGAAGAAAACCCTGATAATTCGTTTATTCTATTGTTGTTGTTGTTGTTGTTGTTGTTGTTGTTACTATTATTATTATTATTATTATTAGTATTATTATTATTATTACTAATACTATTACTATTAGAATTAATAATGATGTCTTGACGAGTATTAATAGTATTGGAAGAAAAGTCTAACATGCTTTGACTTTGTTTAAATTTTTGGAAAAGACAATGTCTTTATTTTATGATAATTGCGGTTGTTTTTCAAAATTTGTTTTTTTTTTGGGATTTCTTTAGAAATAATTTCTTTTTTAAAAAATCAGATAGATATATAATAGATATGCAGTGTAATTAAATGATAAATGATGACGATGGTGTTATATGATGTTGGAAAAAAATTAAAAAAAAAATGAAAAAATGAGAATATAAATAATAAACGGTTGAGGCACACACCAGAGAGAATAATATAATGATTATTGAAAGAACCCAAAATAGTGTGAAGTGTGATCTGCAGCCAATTATAACATTTTAAAATAAACAAATATAAAAAATAATAATATGAAAACGCGGTAGGCTCGTTGGGCTAAATTTGGTCGGTGATGACACAACAATGATTCTTTGAGTGATGTATCAGTGAGGAGAAAACATTTGATTTTCTTAAAGTAGACCAAAAATCTAAATCTCAATTTGACCCAAAATGTTAATTTTAATATTAAAATGAAATATGAAAATAAAAAAAAAAATAAAAAAAACCTGTTTTTTTATTAATTAATTCTTTACTTAATATGGTAGCAACGATGTAGATAAATTCCCATTGTTTAATATCAAATTACCTAATGTATTACGCCGGTCGCTCAATTTTCACCTAATTAACAACCGTTAATTATTAACACAAAAACAATCTAACATGCACCTTTGCGCACAATAAACATTATTAGTTACAATGAATGAATGAATCAGTTAATAAAGACAATGATAAATGAAAATCTTTCTTTAAATGGACATTTGTTTGTTTCCTTTATTTTGCTAATTAATGACAATTAATTATTTAAAAATAATAATCAACTCACGACATCTAACTTTACTATTTTTCGTTCGCATTGCATATAATTATTTTTTCATATTGTTTAATTAGCTTGAGAGTGTGTATGTGGATGTAAAGAGAGCAGTTTTTTGACTTTACTTAAAAAAATTATTATATTTAAGAACAAAATTTTTAAACAAATAATAATAATGAAAATAAACCATTTTTACGCCACTCATAGCATTCAATTATAATAATAAAAATAAATAATAATAACACGCAAATACGAATTCAGTAATATTAAAAAAAAAAAAATATTATATCGTTTTCTCTTATCTACTTAATCTCCAATCCGTATTTCTAAATATTGTTAATAATATTGACTAAACTTTTTTTACACGCATTATTAACACAAACAATCTTATTAAATTACAAATTTTGTGAATTTGTTTATTCCTAAACCTTTCAGCATTTTAACTTTATTATGTAAATTTTTCACATGCGCGTCCGAAATGATTATAAATCTGTTGTTGGAGGAAAAAGTCATGGCATGGACAAGTTTTACTTGATTTCTTTTTTTTTTCCCCCTTAACTATAATTCTTTCCCAAACTGAGAAATATAGAAAAAATTCAAATAACTAACACTAAAGAAGAAAATCTTTGTTGTTGTTTTTTTTGGTGACAGTGAGATTCGAACTCACGCCCCCTCACGGAGACTGCGACCTGAACGCAGCGCCTTAGACCACTCGGCCATGTCACCTTAATAAGTATTAACAGACTCTATATTTCTTATTTTTATTTTATTGAATAAATGTCCTTTGCGATAATTTCTCTAATAATTAATTATTTAATTATCATGTCATAAAAAAATCTTCAATTTGTTTTCCCACTCTTTCCCTCTCTCAAAGTTATATAATTTTAATTGGAGGATTAATTAATTAATTTTAAAAAACCGATATTTGCACAATATACAAAAGAATCCCAAATTGTCGTTCTCGTGTAAACAAATGGACTTTTTTGGCTCATGATGACTATTATTGTTATTTTATTTTTCCCACCTATAATACTGTGTGCATATAAGCGCTTGTACAATAATAACAATAAACATTATGTACGGAAATAAATGACACGGTTTATGGAAATTAAAAAATTCTTGGATTAATTATATATATTAATAAATAATGTTCGCCAAAGGATATTTTTATGATATATTGTACTACAAACATATAATAATAACATTGGGGTCATCATCTGCAAGATGATGAATGCATTGAATGCGGAACCTTATCCGAAGATTTTCAGTGTGCACATTTACTAGTACTAGCATATTTATTAACAATCAATTGCTATGCCAAAATAAATTAAAGGACTTAATGTTTCAAGTAACTGGTTCATTAACAACTACTCTATTAAAAACAGTTCATTATCAACTACTCTGTATTGGATTTTCCATTTTATTTTTACGATAAAAGAAAAATCTAAAAATACTTGTAATTTAATGCAAAAACATTTGCTAATGGTCCCATTATTGTTGTATTAGGACCCATTCAATGACGGCGACGTGGTGAAATGTTAGTTTATGTTTGTGTTGACGTAGAGATAGTCAGAGAACTCGAATAAGTCGAATTGAAATAATAGGCTATTCCTTTAATGATGGTTAAATGGAGTAAATTTTTTAAATAATAAAGAATATTAACTTTAAAAAGGTCAAAACATATATATACATTGCAAATCAAAATATATTTAGAACAACCAAAGGATTAAAGGCTTACCAATCACAAAAAATGTTAACAGCGTGAGATCTGTGGGTAGATCAACAGTATTAGTCTTAGATTGTAAAATCTGCGCGAATGTTAGTAGTAATTGAGGTTTTGAAATTGCATTGTTAATGTTCCCACCACTACCGTAAATAATCATTTGGCAATTTGAATCTGAAATACGCCAAAGCTAGTTTTGTTTTTTTTCTAGTCAAATAACTACTTTGAAACAAAAAGGTTCTGTACTCTCGATGGTAAATAAAGTTGCAGCAGCAACAGCACTCAAAAAAATAAATTTACGTGATTTATTAAATGAAAACCAAAAGTTATTTTATAACAGCAGCAGCTGAACTACTTTAAAACACTAAGGCAAAAAATTTTCATAACACTTTTAAAAAAAAGGTAAATTGATAAGTTATATATATATATAGTTTATGACTTTAAATTCCAAACCCATTGTTAACTTTTTCTTAAACAAAAAATCAACTGGACCTTAACACTTAAAAATCATATATACACTGCAGCGTGCAACAAAAAAAATGTCAAAATTGTTTTCTAAAAAAAGGTACAAAATGAGGAATCAGAATATTTTATTATTAAAATTCCATGTTAAAATCTTTTTCCCGGAAATAACCGCTTTTTTTGATTGATAATAAATAATCTTCAGATTTTAGCTATAAACTGGTATATATGTGATTATTATTTATTTTTTTTTGTGTAATTGATACATTTGGGTACCGGCAAGAGAAATTAAAAAAGTAAAAGATGTTAATCAGCTTTACAAAATAATGCAAGTAATATAATGTAGTCAAAGTTTTTTAATTATGTTGTGTAATTGTATATTGTGTAACAATTATTTAATATCAAATTGGCGTGATAAGTGTAGTGGAAACTAAAATGTTACACTAATTTTTTATTGTGCAATACATTCTGGCAATAAAAAAAGTAATAAACTGGATTTGAGTTGAGTCTGAACTTGATCTCCAATTTAGTGGTAACAACTATATACCGGCGAAGTTTCAGGAGCAATGGGTTCTGTATAACATTTCGTGTAACAACAAACCTCCGCTATTTTTGGCGTGATTATGATATTAATTTTAAATTTCGGAATTGGGGACAATCTTTACTGTACACAGAACGCGGCTGAAGAAGGGTGAATGAAATTAAAAATCAAAATAAAATTAATGAAATTGTTATTGAAGTTTCTTTATAAATGCATGTTGTAAATAATTATATAATTACATATAAGGTTCACAATAATAAATTCTAAATCGAGGGCTAATCGAGTTTCCAAATTCCAAAAAAAGTTTAAATCTAAGTTAGGGATTCTGTATGCTCGTGACTTTGTCACCTGTAATAAAGCGATCTAAATAACAATTAAATAAGATTTTAGTTTTTTACAATAAAAAAAAATATATGAATTGTTCTTTATTCGTACACTACGCAAATCCCTGTAGAAAAAAACGCAATAGCGTACATATATTCTACGCAAATCCACTGTTTTTTCGAATAATTCGTGTAGGTTGTACTCTCAGACAAAAAAACTCAAATTTAACTTAGGTTAAACATGCAGCAAATATTTGTAAAATGCGCCTTTTTAGTTAAATAAAGATCAAAATTTTGATAAAATGACATCTTTTTACATACATTTAACCATTTTAAATTAATTTTTTTTATCAGTGATTGTGTGGCTTTTATTGTTCCCCGGTTGATTAGAATGAAATTTTTTTTTTTGAGATGCTGTGTGATATTCATTCATTGTAAATATTAAACATTAATATTTAATTGGACGAACAGGATTTTCCCGCATATAAAAATAACAGTCTTTCAAGTAAAAAAAACCGAATAATGTGATGAATTAGCATTGGAATTCAAATACTAAAGTTGCAATATTAGGGAAAAAACTTTCTATTGGTATTAAATAGTCATATAAAAAATCGTTGTGTGAACTTTAATGCTAGCTAATATTAAAATTAAAATGATGCGCGAAATATTAAACTGTCTCTTTTTTTTTTTTTTAATTATTTGAATGTCTAACCGTTTTAAGCCAAGATTTTCTTTCTATATATAGCATATTCAATAATAATAATAATAATAAATAATATAATATTTTATATAAACGGAAAGCAGGTTTTTTTATATGCATATTTTATTGGCAAAATCAAGGGTTCGAGTACAATATATGTTATGCATTTTAAATGCAAATCTCCTGTTTGTGACAATAAAATACATATATGGTTTTGCTACGAGTTTTCCCTGATAAAATAATTTTGACGCGTTATTTACATTATCCGACCAAATTTAGAAATAATCATCATCATTAGACTTTTGCGGCCAATTCTTTAAAAAACCTGCATAATAATAAGAATAAATAGAACACAATTAAATATTATTTGTCTCGACAGGCAGGGTATATA